ACAGTTTTTTTTTGATTGGCTTTGGCTTGAAACCTTTAGCCACATAATTATATATGCATATTAGTATTGATTCATACGAGATTGTACAAGAAGGACACTTTTCACGCTCAGGGGTTCATCAGAGCGGATTTATTGTAACAAACAAGACATAAACCACGGTTACGTACGTGGGCAACATATATGGTAAACATAAAAAGAAAATGATCAAGAATACGATCAATTTTACACTCATACCTTTAATTTAATTTTTACAATAAATATAATGATTTTAAAAATTTTTATATTGTGAAAGAATTATATTATATAGAAAATTTACGTTGAATGGTGTACTTAAACCCTCTCTTATCAATTCTTTTAGCAGCCACGTGCTTGTATTACGATGTAGTGGGCAGTTGAAAAATATATGATTTAAATCAGCTATACTAGTTCCACACTCACATCGGTCTGTTGGTAGAACTCCTATTTTGTGTAGATGTTTCGGAAAACATCCATGATCTACTTTTAATCTTAAGATAGTTGACACTGTGTTTGTGCTTATTAAACTTGTGTAACATCTTTGTAAAATTATTTTACATCTACTGTTGGTTGTAATTTGTCTAAATTAGTGCCCCTGCTTTCATCAAACTGAATCCATTGCCTATCCCATTTAAATTTAATATGTTGTTTGATATAGGCGAGGTCACATGTCATGAATTCTTCTATCACCATATGTGAATCCATAGAAATTTAGTACCGTATGGATCTGATAGTTTTAGTAAATGTTGAAAAACTTGTAATATGAATAGATTGTTATTAATTGTAAAGTTAAAGTTTTGTAAGGAGTGTAATACTGACAGTGAATCACTGCATATGACAATTTTGTTCCACTGGTTTTCACAACACAATTCAAGGGCTTTGTATATAGCACATGCTTGGCAGAAAAGATGCTGGATTGATTATTTACAATAAATGATTTTTTAATTTTCATTTTTGGTACAAAGTAAGCACTGGTTGTACATGTTGGTGATTTCGACCTGTCTATATAGATTACAATATGATCTAAATAGCCATTTAAGCTTTCTTTAAGAGTAGTATAACAAAATTCGTTTTGGTATTTAGGAATAATAATATATCAAACAGTTACAATAGTAAAAACTGAAGATCCCCATCATAAGCAATTACAAGATAGTTTGAACTATGTTCTCCAAATCATTAATAAATTTTGTACCGGCATCATTTAATTCACTTTGTCCCGACTGACCTGAAGATGCTTTGCAAATTGTAGAAAGCGAAACCGGTTGTCTTGATAGTTAAATTAAACTGATTGTGAGTGAGTTTTATTTATTTATTTTTTACCTATTTGAAATGGACTCACATAGGCAACACATTCATGATTTGAATTATATTCTTTACAAATTTCTTTTACAGCTCCTTAAACTATTGAGGCCTTATGATTTTTTTATAATTATTTTCTATTTCATACCTGTAAGTACACTGTCATTGTCGTAACTGTCAGAAATATGTCGTCACAGAATCATAATCTGTGATATCTTTATTAGAAAAGATAATAAAAATATTTTCTCACGAAATCAAGTATTATAATAAATCAACCGACATTAACGATTAAATTTTCAATAGCCTTGATATGAGCTATTACTTTTAAAACTGACTAGGTTATAAATTTTTTTATTTTATCTATGTCATTATCGACTTAATATTAACAACTTTTGTTTACACATAATCTTAACACATATTCAGATATTGTTAATAATACAAAAATATTAATTTATTTGAAAGCAATAATGTCCAATGTTCAAATTAGAAGTTTAAACAGATATGTAATTATAGGAATTTGTTTAATAATTATTAACTTTTTTATTGTTTAATAAATCAGTTTTTTATAAATCATCTTTGGAAAACATATAAAAATATCCAAAGGTAGTTTTACTTTCTCAGAAGTACGGAAAAATCGCTTGATATGAAGGAACAGGCAGGAAAAGTCGTGATGATCTGGTGAGGTTATTAAAAATAAAGACGAAAAAAATTATAGTTAGTGGCAATAACTTCTACAATCAGATTGTGAGGTATTTGACTTCTCCTATTAAAAATTTGTGGGACGTTGAATCCCGGTACACAGTTGCAAGAATTATGTTTGCATAAAATTCATCAAAAATTCCTTGATAGAAAGAACGACTGTTTCGTTGGGATTTCGTGTGTTCAAATTTTTTTTCGCTTTATAGAGCACAACCCTCTATATGGAGGAAAATACTTATATAACATTACAGCAAGGTTTTATTTAGTTTTACCTGGACCTACCCAATATTTAAAAAAATAGTCACCTTGATTTGCCAAACATATAGATCTTTTAAAAAAACGCACACAAAAACAAAAGACAAAAATAGGATGTTTATGAATATTAGATAATCCAAAAGCACTAAGATAAAAAAATTACAGAAAACAATAATCCGACTGACACGGTGCGATTACAGAAAAGCGTAAGCTGATGCTAATAACTGCTGCACTTTGGTTGTATTTGTAGTGCATTGCCAAAATCGTACTGGACATTATGTTGGTAGAAATGGCATAAGGTATCAAATGCTAGAAAATAGTTTGCCATATTGTTTACGCTAATATAAATGCTCAAGAAAAACCCTGTATGTAGGAACGCTAACGCACCTGACAGGCAAAGTATACAAAATATAAAAATAAGAACATATTTTTGAAATAAACAAAATATAACATGAATAAACAATGGAAACATTGGCCCTAACTAGGATCTAATTGAAAAATAATCAAATGTTGGTACAAATGTCTATTAGTGTGCGTGAAAGACAAATCTTTCACAAAGAAGACACAAAGACTAATCTACAAAGTAAGAGATTATGGATATAACTTAGTCATGACGAAGCTTATGTCGTCGTAAGCGACCAGAGATTTAGGGTTCAGCAGTTCTATCTGAACGTGGAATCCCGAAACTTAAAGTACCAAAGGGTACAGTCTGATCACCCCTCATGTATAGCATACATACAGCAGATGTTCTAAGAACACCCAGAACACTAATCAGCCTTTATGCAGACGACAGTGCAATCGCGGCAAAACATAGAAATCTGGATATGGCTGTAAGAAATCTTTAGACGGTACTGAATACGACAGAAAAATGGAATATCCAATGAAAAATAGCAATAAATCCAGAAACGATCCAAGCAGTTATATTCACAGGACTCGCAGGAAGAATAAGCAAATTAGCTATAAAAACAAAATTAAGACTGATCATTAACATCATACTACCAATAATTACATATGCATCTCTTGCACGGGAACACACAAGTCCCAGCAACCAAAAAAATTCAAGCACACAACAACTGCCTTATAGAAGCTGCAAACGTACTCAGATACGTCGCTGAACGGTTCCTATTCAGAGCCGTAAAACAAATAAGGGTACTGGATATGATGGATGAAAAAGCCAGAAAAAAATTCGCTGAGTTAAAGACCACCCAAATTGAATCCTGCGAGAGGTATTAAGGTATGATGTGTATCATAGATACACACATACAATAAAGTGTATTTACTAATTTTGATTTTATATGTTTCAGACAGCACTCAAAATAAATCTAAAAAAAAACAAAATACAACAACTGCTTTGGCCACCAAAAAAATTTAAAAAACAATAACAAATAACGCAAGCCACAAAAATACCAACAAAAACGAGCAAGAGGGGCCCACATCCTTGAGCGTCGAGTCACCGAACTGGGCGTAGCCCAAAGCGACGACACAGGACCCAACAAACACTACAGTGCCTTAGGCTGGCCTGTATTGTTTAGGGTAGTATTTTGTGCGGGAGACCTCTACCAGAAGTACGTATAAGAGAGCGATATTCCTGATCACACGAGTTTTTCCTACTCGCTTTAATAAATTGTATCACTCTAAGGTTCTATTTAAGGGGAGTGCAAGTTTCTCAGGCTGGATTAAAATATTGCTTGGTCATAAATTACAATATTTTTTAAAACAAAGTAAAAGAGAAAAATTCCAGTGGTTGGCTATACCATAGTTTAAAAAAAGCTTAAATAGAAGTGAAGATTACAAACCTTGAAAATATTTTTGGTACAGTCGGATCATCATCAGAAAATCTAAAAGTATTTATACTTTAAAATGACACAAATATAAGGTAAAAATTGAAATATTAAATTGCCAAACGTGTGGAAAATACGTATATTTTAAACTAATTGAAATTCGCTACTAAAATAGGTTTAATTAGATGTCATTCATAGTCAAATGTAAAATTATAATATAAAAATTCACTTTCGATTGTCTTGAGCACCTGTCAATTTTAATAAATTTCACTTCCTTTCTGCTCTAGTTAGTTGACGGGTTCTAACAGTTGGACAAAGTCGTCCTTCTTTCGAGCCTTGTCATTACAATTTTAAATTTTACTATGATTGTCATGTAATACAAAGGTTTTATACATATTTTGTTAGCTAGTTTCAACTACTTTAAAATGTAAGTAGTTTCCACAAGTTTGGCAATGTTACAGTCAAAATTTTACCTTACGTTTGTGTCATTTTAAAGTGGAAATAGTTAAAGGTTTCAGTGATGACGGTCCGACTGTACCGAAAACCTTTTGGAGATTTGTAATTAAAAAAAAACAAATATTGAAACGTATTAGCACGTTTCATTTGGCCAAATGCCAAATAAATTGAGAAGTAGGATCTAAATACATGCATAAAAAATAAATGAAATTAGCAAAAATGTAAAAATTTGAGGTTCATAAGACAACTCTGCAAAAGATTATCATTATAATGTTCTACTGCTACATCGTAATATTAGTACAAATGTGAGAGTAATTGAAGAAAAAATGAGATCCTGTTGCATATGTAAAGATTGTGATTACTACTACAGTTTATTTTGAAAACTCCGTAACGTTTTATTAACAAATTAATTATTTTATTGACGACCTCAAAATACATCAATTTGCGACGTTACTTTACAAAATTCTTTATTAGAAAATAAATAGTTATACTTACAATAGTTTGTTTGTTACTTTTACTGACACTCGAGGGTAGTTTCAAATCTGCTGCTACCCACATATTCTCGCTCACGGTGAGTAGAGGCTGCAGACGATCATCTTGTGTAATATAACATGAGGTTTTTCTGAATTCTTTTAAACTTCTTGGCATTCCATTAACGTATACTGAACCTGATACGCCACGTATCCTATACCCACTCAAAACGTCCAATAATGTACTTTTTCCTGCCCCCGATGGCCCCATTATGGCTATTAGCTGACCGGGTTGGAAACGCCCTCCGACTTGATGCAAAATTTCTTTTGTAGCTAAAAAAAAAATTAGGGTGTTATTAAATAAATACTAAAATTGTAGTTATGCATTGAATTAATAACTATTTAATAATTATTTCTTATATTAAGTGTTTAAATTGTTCTCCATCGAGTTCCGTATGATCGATTACCGTACTGCATATTATATTCTTTAACACTTTGTTGTTTCCAAATGTTAATACTGTTGGCTACTGTAGCGTAAATCTTTAAGATTTCAAGTACTCCCACAGCAAAAAATCTAATCATGTGAGGTGCGGTGACCATGCCATCGCAATTCGTCGTGGAATCGATCTACCAAGATATTTTTCATCTATATCACCATCTTCTGTGCCGAATTTATCTGGATTATCTTCAGAATTTTAAAAGTTAACGGCTCAACTCAGTTTTGTGACGTTTTTAGATACACTTCACCGGTTAAGTTAGCATTGAAAAAAAAATGGGCCAACTATATTGTTTCCCAAAATACTTGTCCAAACATTTACTTTTTCTGGAAAATGAGTATGTTTTTCACGAAAGACGTGAGGATTTGTGTAGTTTCAATAGATCACATTATGTGTGTGATCAACATTTCCATTGTGGGAAAAAGTTCTTTCGTCACTAAAACAAATTGTTTTTCTGTAATCTGGCTATTGGTTAATTTAGTTGGACATATTTTTACAGAATTCTAGTTTTCGTTCGGGATTATGATCTGAAAGTTGGTGTACAATTTTAATTTGTATGATGAAATTAGTTTAATATAATTAGGTGAACAGAATACCACCTCTCACATCCACCTCAAAATAGATCCGTCCTGGTTTATAAGAACATTTATAAGAACCTAAGATTTTTATGGCGATCTCTACAAAAAGCTTTTTGAAAATATTTGAAGCAAACAATGGTTGGTATTTGTATCCAAGCACGGTTGTGTCAGAGCATTGGGGAATAGTTCTTTATTCGTTTCTAGACTGCTTTTAAAAACCCATCTATGAGTCATATAGTTCTTCTTACAATTTACTGTTTTTTCAACATTAATGACAGTTTCCAAAGTATGGTTAAGAAATACAGTAACTTGATATTTATTATTTTATATACTCCTGATCTTTTATTGCTTTCTTATGTTTTCAAAAAAACCTTATTTCATTATATCTGGTCCCATAATTTTTTCATCATTTTCTGCTTTCTTGTTAGTGTGAAACCTTTGTTTTATCGGTTTTTTTAGATCTTTTTAACTTTTATCTTGCTTAAATTATGACGGAGTCGATTCTTTAATTGAATTATTTTTTAGAGTATTTTGGAGAATGGTAAAAAGTAAGCTACAGAAACCATAAACAGCTTGAGAGGATTTTTCGATAGTTTAAATGTCTTTAATTTTAATTTTTTATTCTTGCTTTTTTAAACAAGAAATTTTTAATTTTGAAGCATACCAACTCTTTAATGAACCAGATGCCGTAACTTTCATTAAAACATACCGACTTAGATAGGCCGGACACATAATAGAAATGCCTGACAATATGATTGCTAAAAAGCTATCGACAGGAACACCTATAGGAAGAAGAAGCAGGGGCCGACCGCGAATTAGGTAGTTAGATAGAGTTGAGACCCACTTAGAGATACTAGAGATCAGAAGATGACAACACGTTGCCAGAAACCGAACAGAATGGCAACTAATCTTAGAGCGGGCCAGGATCCACAGAGGATTGTCGAGCCAAAGATGATGATGATGATTTTTTCTAAAATATTTCCATTCTCGATTATTTATTTAATCTATGACAATGAAAGATACACGATATTGTCTTCTGTGTAAAAAAATTAACGAGTTTAAATACGTTAATAACACAAAGAAAGATGACCTTAAAAAATACTGGAATCACATTTTAGATGAAATATACCAACAAATGGAAAAAAGGTTTAAGAATTTTGATGACCTAGATTTTTTGAGCTGTGCCATTTTAATGCAATTAAAAAAACACATTTTCTAGTCAATCAAAGAAAATCTTTGATACGTAGTTATGGACAATATTTTGACTTAATTTCATTACGTTCGAAACTAATAGACTTATACGAAATTGAGGACATTGACCCAAAAAAATAATGCCAATGCGTTACTTATGTTTTTAAAAATAACTTCTTTGGACAAAGCATATTCAAAGGTAGTGAAATTGTGCAAGTTAATTTTGACCATTTACGCTACTAGTGCCTCTGTAGAACATAGTTTTTTAACTCTAAAACGAATAAACACTTACTTGCGAAACTCGACAGGACAATAATATTGAGTTTCTAATTTTTCCCTCTTAGCAACTGAAAATAATCTAGTGAAATAAATGTTACAATTTGTACGTTTTTACAAGGAACTTTTTCGATAATTGGTAGAATTGAATTACGTTATAAATAGATGAGTTTTTACAATTTTTTATAAATTGCTTCCCTTGTTTTAAATTTCACCACACGCCCCTGGTGTCGACTACATTTTGAGTATCGCGATTTGTTTCTTATACATTTTTGGGAATATTTTTTAAACGTATGTTGCATGCATAATTGCAAACCATCCTGGATGAAATACCTCATGAAGAGCCCTTAATTTTTATGGGTGACTTTAATGCACAAATCGAAAATAAAATAGTTCTAGGAGTAAAACAAAGATTTAATGAAAATCATAGAGACCATGGTCAACGCAAATGGAGAACTTATGGCTAATTTCTGTGCTTTTAACGAACTGAGAATCAATAATACATTTTTCGACCATAAGCTCCACTATAAATATACATTTGAAATCTCCGGGGGTCATAAATCTATGATTGATTTTATAGTCACTAATAGAAAAATCCACCCAAAGCAAATTTTAGATATTCAAACTTTAAACTCAGCAGCCGCAAGGAGTGAACAGCAACTAGTACTAGCAGAGATAAGAATGAAAATAACACCAAAACAAAATTTTCTACAGATAATCACCGAGGAAAAATTCAATGTAGGATCACTGTGGAACGACTCTAAAAGAGAAATGTGCAAAGCAGGCTAGCACAGAAGATATAGCTGAAACAAATAGACGAAATCAAAGATATACACGAGAGCTGGGAGAAAATTAGAAACAACATTGACGAAGCAGCAACAGAAGCTCTAGGAAAACGCAAAGTCATATTGAACAAAAGAAACAACAACAATACACCATGGTTCAGAAAAGAAATAAAAGAGAAATGTAAAGAGAAACGAGGGTCCTACACGAAGTACAAAACATTGAATACCCCAGAATACCGAGAAAACTATAGAAGAATTACGAAATGAAACAAAGCAGTTGATAAGAAGAACAAAAAATGAACACTGGGAACAGTTTATAAAAAGGATGAACAGCGACTTCTAGAGTACACAAAAACAAAGATGGAGATTTATAAGAAACCAACGAAAAGAAATGGCAAAATTGAAGGAATACAATAACATACCAGCAAACGAATCGGAAAGATACATGAGAGAAATGTTTAAAGCAAAGGAAAATAATAATCAATACAATAACGTACCTGAATTAAGACATGAAATAGAAATAAGTTTTTAGGAAGTAGAAATAGCCATTAATTCACTTAAAAATAGAAAGTCACCTGGACCAGACAAAATAACCAACGATCTTCTAAAACACGGAGGAGAAAGTATAACACTAGAGATAACAAAACTTATACAAAAACTAATATTGCACTGCAAGATACCAGACGCTTGGAGAAACAGCATAATGATACAAATGTTCAAAAAAGGATATAAAAAAGAGCCCAACAATTATAGAGGTATAAATCTACTGAACACCACACATAAGCTTACCACAAAAGTCCTAACCAACAAAATCAATAAACTAACAACTTTATCAGATGAACAACAAGGATTCAGATCCGGAAGATCCTGTGTAGACGCCGTATTTGTACTAAGAGAAATCACATAAATGGCCATCGAGTAAAATAAACCAGCATATCTATGTTTTATAGACCTTACAAAGGCTTTCGATCGCATCCAAGTCGAAGACGTCCTACGATCTACTGTATAAAAGAAACATACCAATCAATATTATACAAACCACCAAAAACATCTACTTTGATAGTCGAATACAGGCAAAGATAAATCGAAAACTATCATATTGTACACCAGTACAAGGCGGAGTCAGACAGGGTGACTCATTAAGCCTACTTCTCTTTAATATAATAATGGACGAAATAACACAAACAGTACTTAAAGGTGAAGGCTACATAATGGGGAACAAAGAAATCCAAATATTATGTTATGCAGACGACGCCGCATTAATCGGCGAGACAGAAGACGAGCTCCAAAGATTAACAAACATTTACAGCCAAGAAATACAATATGATAATATCAGCAAAAAAACCAAATGTACGACAACATCTAAATACTACTTCTACTAACATACAATGTAAAATCGAAATTGGTGAGAAAATAATAAAGCAGGAAGCAAGGTTTAAATATCTGGAAATAGATAAAACTATTTACGGAGATGTTGAAGAAGAAGTACGAAAACAAAGCTTAAAAGCAAGTAAAGCGGCGGGATCTCTTAATGATACAATCTGGAAGAGCAGACACCTAAGACAAAATATAAAAACAAGAATCTATAAGGCAGCAATTAGACCTATATTAACGTACATGGCGGAGACAAGACACATCTAAAACAAGACGACTACTAGAAACAACAGAGATAAAAATACTCCGACGAATATCAGGGAAAAGTCTGTTAGATATGAAGAGAAACGAAAACATAAGAAGATATAGAAGCCATAAATGGAAGGGTGACAAAACGAAAACGAAAAGGGAGTGGAACGAAAACATCTTTAGAATGGTAAAGGATAGAATAGTACGAATAGCACGAGATAAGTCACCAAATGGACAAAGAAGTGTTGGCAAACCAAGAAAAAGATGGTGCGATAATTTAAACAATTTAGGAGGCTAATATTGAAGAAGAAACAGGCTTTAAAGCCTACATACATAAAGAAAGAAGAAGAAGAAGACGTGTTTGTTGATGGTATATTGTTTTT